GAAATGTAATAAAGGATAAAAGGATAAAGCATTTGCCGTTGATCAATCCCTTTTTGGGATGCGGCACGCATTCTACTTCCATTTGTACATTCGTAGTGGCGTTTGAATGCGATGTGGCCTATACAATGACTTGCGGGGGCCAGCCGATGTACAAGTCAGTGTTTTTATCCTCCCAGACAAGTCTGGTACCAATTAACCGACCCCGGAGGGATGGAAGGCTTGGTTGGCCCGGGCGACTCACGACCCAGGATTTGATCCCCGGACCGCTCGCGTGGTAAGCGTGCCACTTGCCACTACACCACTTCCGCCCCTTAAAAAATACAAACATTAATACTGAGAGTTTTGAAATAACGTTTAGTCAGGAAGACTTTTGAGTACAATTAATGGAATAGTTTAATGATATATTAGGTTGGTCCATAAGTCTTGCAACAAACTGGCTGAATTTTGATTTTAATATTTTTATTATCTTTTTGTTCCATTCATCCAGCATGATACACACCATCAATATCTACAACCTATTGCCAACGCACTAGAAGCTGTTCGATGCCTCTCTTGTAGAACTCCACTGAATTCTGATCGAAGAAAGATCAGATGTCGATTTTGACATCATGATGGTTAGGATGAGATTTCTTCTCTAGGAGGTGGTTGGAAAGGAGGCAGGGAGGCCCGAGTCAGGAGCTATAAGGTGGATACAGAAGAACTCCCGTCCGAGAGTCTCAAATTTTCCTGAATTTTCTTAGCAAGAGGTGGTTCAACGGTGTCATAAAAAGCAAACTTTGCCTTGTTTTTCTTTCGTATTGAAAGCGTTGCATTCGAGCTGTGGACGGTTGACTTTCCGCGTTGACTGCGACATCTACACGTAGGGTTTCCAGAGCTCAACTCCTCTCGTGTTCCACCAAAAATCCGAGAAGGCCCTACTTGGACGAGGTTGAACTTAGCAGTAAGAACTCCCGAAGCGTTTGAGCTGGACTATCGCCGCTTGTTTATTTGTTAGCACACTGTACCACTCCTCATCTTCGGCAAATGTGATGGATGGTCAATCGAAGAATCCATAGTAAGTCGACTTGAACATAATGATGTCAGATCGTGTTTGGAGCTGAATCGGGCTCAAGGCACGTGGGACCAAACTCTATATTTTCGGATCTTCACAAGTCTTTGGAGATGCCACAGTGCTGTCTCCTTGTCGCATCGGAATTGCTCTAGCAAAGAGAAGAAAAAGTCAAGGCTGGAGCAGAGTGGAGCGCCGGTGCACCGTTGATTTGGAGTTGACCCTGCCAGGCTTATGGTTGAAGCTTGGTGTTGCGCAGGAGCTTGCGGAACATTTCTCAGCGTGAGTACTCGTCGAAAAGCAGGGCACGAAAGAGGCTGGGCTTCGCGGATCGATGTAACGTTCATAACACGTAGCGTGAGACAACTAGCTGGATGCTAGCCGAATCTGCTAAAGGCGGGTGCTATGTCAACAAACATGTTGCAGAATTTTCAGAATTCCCACAAAAATTCTCTAGCATTCAATGTAATTCATTGCAAGACTTATGGAACAACCTAATACTAAAGAATTAAATTTCGTTCTGTGGCATAATCTATCTAGGTCCGGTCGAAAAAGTACCGGCCGTTTTGCTAATTATGGAGCACCACAACTTGGCCAAAGCGACCTTTTTGTCGAAACGAAAATTGCTATGTCCAGCAGATTGTTCTCAATCAGACCCATGCTAAGAATTCTCTTCCTATAGATCTTTAATTTATTATAGGCTAAAAGCTGTAGGAAGGCGCATTTGACATGCCTCAGTTCTCAACGCGATTTCTCCTCCAAGAACTATGTTGAAAAGCGGGGAATTGGTGGTTCGTGAAAGATGTACCTGGGCTATATAAAGGATAGCAAAAGAACTTCTGAGCCATTTCTGAATGGATTCTACAGAGCGTATTTTGCGGTGGGCGATTTAGCGCTATCGTGGTGAAGGACTGGACCTCATTTTTTCCTTGAAGCAGACTATCATCCGTAGTTTCTTATGTTTATGTTCTACTCTTTACGACAGGACTCGGCCGTCGTCGAATGAGTCAATTCTCGGAGCTTATGCCATCGAAAATTGAGGAAAATCCTTATTGAAGGCGCTCCAGGTTTTGCAGCGTTGGTAACCCTTTCACTGTTATCGTGCAGAAGCATAGTCTTTACCAAAACAGCTATCTAAACCACTTGAAAACTGTTCTATTACTGCCTGCCAAGGAGGAGTTCAGAGCACACACCGCCACGCGCTGTTCGCAATCTGCTAAGTGCCAGCGGGTTAGTCCTAGTGAACGGATATGATGAGATTTTACTGCTTTTTCACAGCGTCACAGGCCTTTCGGTGCCTTTTAGAGACCCAACCTCTAATACCACACCTGTAGTTGGGTATCAGTGATAAGCTTCTTTCATTTCTTTTTTACAATCCCGTACATTGAGGGCACTCCTTATACTACGCGCATCACTTTCGAGCTTTATTTCTCCAGGCCCAAGCCTGCCGAGCTAATCTTGCGCTATGCGTTTCCTAGCAGCACTCCTTCTCAATGCAGTCGCCATATTACAAGCTGGCCCTGGCTTGTCTATTCCAAGTTTGAGGAAATGCAAGTTGGGCAACAATCAAAAATCACGATTTTGCTTATCCTAAAAAGGAGGGTAAAACGACAAATGTTCTGGGAATCACCTCGAACCTTCGTATGAATATGAAAGGGCTGATCTTCCTCTATAAGATAGCACCCAAGTTGTTTGAATAGTTGCGAAAAAACTATCAAAAAATGCAGGGGACTAATCGAGGTGCAAAACGGCGGATACTTATTGACCGACCTAATAGTAAATTAATAAATAAATTTTATTTTATTATTTTTATTATGTACTACATAGATAGCGTAAAAAGAAATTACCAGTAATAAGTGTCAACCTCAATGAATCGATTAGTGACAACTATGCTTGTAGTATATTTCACCTACTGACCGTTTGAAGGAGCCCAGAGGCGTGGCGATGTAGTTAAGGCCGTTGCTGGCTTGCAAGTATGCAAGACCAGCCCCTATCGTGACAAAGTTTCGTCTAGTGCTTGTTTTGGTTCTAGAAAACGATAATTTAAGCTGACCACCCCTTGTTATGGAATTAATTAAGGCTGTAGAAATCCGAAAAATTAACCGCGGATTTGCCTGTCAGCAATTTGTGTACCATGCACAGGCCAAAAAGCTTGCGACTAGACTGGAGACTAGGAAGATTGAGATATTTGTTCTGCCTTGGGAATTCTGGATTACAGAAGTCTTCTAGATGAGGTGCCTTCTGACTTGATGGAACAGCAAATCAAGACCGACAAAGATCTGGCCAACTCTAAATAGAGGACGGCAGGCCAACTGAAATATGACCGCTGCTTTTGAGAAAATGTCAAGGCGAATGATGAGGCGGCCTCGAAAAACATGAAGGCTGCTCCCAAGCCTGGTTTATCAATTAGCGGGTATGTATTGTATTAGACTGAAGTGGAGTAAAATTTCTTTGAAAAATCATCGCAATGCGCTACCTGCTCGAATCCGACGACGTCTTCCAATCGGTGGGCGCTGTATGCGGAAACGACGCATGCTACGGGATTCTGCCTAAAATACTACCTGAATGAATGAATGCTTCACCTACAGTATGCACAAGTTCCATTTCTTCCCGAATTTATACGATCTTCCAGTAGTACAAGATCATGGTCATAAACAGAGGTCGAATGACACAAAGAAAGCAAAGCAAAACTGTGGCCAAAGTATTGACTTTATACAGCTCAAGCCTTGTTGGATCAGAATGCCTTCAGAGGGTTTTATTACCAGTTAACTTGGCCACTAAAGGGTAGATCATTCCCTTGGAGCTCACCAGTGTCAAAACTACCTGATGTTTTTCATATTGTGATCGATTGGAAGCGTTATGTTGTTAATAACTAGAAAGAAAGAGAAACTTCCATGACAATCGATAGAACAAAATGACGGATTTCCCCAGAAAAATTAGACAACGAATTTATAGCTCGAAAAAATCACTTTGAGTCGTTATTTCTGTTTTCCAGAATAGGATATTCGTGCACCCCAATGAAGCCATTAGATTGTAGGTTCCACTGCTTTTGGAAATATCTTCCAGGGTTTCAGCTGTTTTCAGGCCAAGAAATAAATTTAAGACGAAATTGGTTCAGGATGTAAGAGCTTTGCACGTGTATGCTATTCAACCGAGAAGAGCGTCCAGAAAAAGTAAAGTAGAGTATTATTTAAGATTCACCCCCAGGGGTCAGATATTGGCGCATTGTTTGGGAGTAGGGCGTCATGAATGCCTCCGAAGGAGAAAATAAGTTAATGTTCGGGTGCCAAAACGCTCTTAAACGGAGGAATCTTAGTGCATGGCACAACCCAGGCAGAGGTCGTGTGAACGCTTCCTTCGGTCTGTAGTATAGACCCCTAGAGGACAATCACAAATGTGGCGTTCCCGTGCACGGAAACCAACCGACAAGAGCGCTTGGGCCTTGCAAAGTAAGCTGCTGAAGCTGCAGATTTTTTCTCTTATCAGGCTGTTGTCTGGCGCTCTCTCATCTGTAGCGCTCTCTCGCCTCATACTCTCCTCTCCGCGCTTAGTCTCTCATTCCCTTAGCACAGCCGATTAGGAAGGTGAGTGAGCCCTTAACCTAAGCGTTTTCGACGGATTCTTTTCCTTTTTTCTTTACTGCCGGCCCATTTCGCACCATTCGCATTCGTGTGCAAGGGCTACACTATTGTGATCCTATGACCTTTACTAACTAGCTTAACTTTTCGTGAATCCATTCACTTACCGTGGCACTTTTCTGCGGAAGGAAATCAGCAAGGGAGTCCACCACATGATAATAGGCATAGTTGACGATAGTGCGGGCATCGACTGGAAATTTTGGATTCAAACTCAGACGAAATTCTAACAAAAATCGAAGGAAATCGATAGTAGTGCTAGTTTACTGGTTGATTTGCAAGCATATCGTTGAGCGCCTGTAGTTTCTCCGGTTCCATTACAATATACTTGTATGTCGGATCACTGATGTTCGCTGCATGATGTGTAGGGCGGGTCCAACGGCCTGAAGACGCTCAATTATAATAGTTCTGTAGGCCACCTACGGCTGACAAGGGCAAACATACTTCTCCTAGAAACGTGTGCCAGCTAATTTGGGGATAAGTGCTCATCAGCTGACGAGCGGTCATTGGATTGTAGCTGCGATCAAACTGTCTACGAGTAGTGTCATCGGTACTGAAATCGGAAGACTACTGTAGCATTTTTTTCAGCCAAGCATGGTTACGACGTCTTTCGACTGTATGCTATACGGAGATGATCAAAGCTAACGATTTGAGCAGCATCATTCTGTAGTTGCCTCTGGTCGAGAGTAACTCCTTGTGTTGCGGCGAACGCATTCATTGTGTCAATTATGCCATGCAGTAACCTAAATATTGAACTGCTTGCTTCGAAATGGTTTTTATTAAAGTCTTAAAAGAAGTGATCACGATAAAGAAGGAGCGCATCAGGGAAGTGTATGTGTCACACGAAGCAGTAGCTCGCCTGCTTGGGAAGCGAGCTAGGGGGATTTCTTCGACGAAAGGTGAGCTGGTTGCTGAGCAGTACTTGAAAGTCATCACGCTTTGAGCGTTACCCCTTAGTCTAATAATGTTATGGACGATCCTTGTTGCAACTGGGACGCAAATGGAGAGCAACTCAGGCTTGTGCATGGTTTGGTACGGTTCACCAAAAATGCTGCGGCCCATAGGTCCGCTGTTTGAGCCGTCGCCCGTTCATGAGCGAATATGCGCGGCCAAACAAGGGGGTCCCGTTTTAGGTTTTCTGACAATTTCTACGATTTATTTCGCCTGGGTGCATTAGAGCTTTGCATTCTAACGACTCTGAATTTCGTTTCTGCGTGCCTCTGTATTAAGACGTTTCGAGACTTGCTTGAATGAATCTGACCTGTCTGAGTGACGATGGCTGGTAATTATCATGAAGGATCAAAGGTGAGACTGTGCACATCTCAATGGTTCATTCTACTCTGCTTACAAATTTCAATTTGTCCTGGTTAGCTTGTTCCTTGGCCGCAAATCCCAAAGATTGCAAGTATCAACACACATTTTATTAAGCCCGCTCTTCCTCTCGTCCTAACACTGACTCCTCACCCGTTCCTGTCCATATTTTAGGGACCAAAGCCTGTGACAATAATGACGTCACTATAAGTCTAATTCAAAATTACGCTGTTAATTTGACTCACTCAAATATCCTCCTTCCCCTCAAAGGTGTGAGATAATTACCAGACGAATAACATCAATTATATTCTGACTTTTACTGAATGTTTCAGTGACCTACAAAGGAACAGGGACCTCTTACATAATATGAAGCTTAGTTAACGACATCTGCAAATATTCGTGTCTTTCAGCGTTTACTTGGAACTCGACACGGGTGCTTACATGGCTTCGGATTGAAGGCCAACCCAAGCAGAAGCTGGGTGAACGATACCCTTCAGTATGTAGGATGAATCCCTAAAGGGAAATCACAGAGGTGGCATTGAGAATGTGCATGGAAATCACTTTACAAGGGGGCTAAGGCCTTGAAAAGGTACCTGCAGCAGTTGCAATGCTCCTCACCCGCACTCTGCTGCTTGTTGTGCTCTCTCCCCTCCTACTTTGCTCTTCGTGCTCAGTCTCTCATTGCCTTAGTACAGCCGCATCACGAAAGGTGAGCAAGCCTTTATCTCAAGCGGTTTCAACTAATTCATTTCCTTTCTTCTTTACTCCGACCCGTTTCTCCAACAGTTTCATATCCCTGTGCAATGGCCACACCCGTTTATTCCGAGACATGCCTCTAACCTCTATCAAAGTACCCGCCTGGTCCCTATACATAGTTGGGGTACCCCCAGGAGGCCCGTCGCGCGGCAAGAAGGCAAAGTCAGCGGACGAGTCGCGCGCGTACTATAGGGATTTCGCGTCAAGTTAAATAGAGTGTCCCACTGCACGTCCTACATCGCACACCACGCGCTGCAACTCGTCCGCCGACTCTGCCTTCTTGCCGCGCGGGGGCCTCCTGGGGTTTTTTCTTCAGCAACATTGCACTGCACGACTTTCTAACGTTGCTGCTCGATTCAAGTCCGAAATCTTGCAAGGGGTTTCTCTCGCTTTCACCCTTAGTTTTGCATTTGAGGCCAGCGAACAGTTACTGTCAAAACATGTGAGAAAAAAGTACTCGTTCTGGTAAGTGCTCCACGCCTTGACGTGGTATGTGTATGGTAGTAGCGTCGTCGGTTGATCGATGTAATACGCATAGCCATCTACTCCATGAGGATCTTTCCAGTTGGAATCCACTAGGGGTGTAACCAAATTCGGTGCTCCATTCGTTCCCGCTGGATAACCTGAAATGAGTGCGTTTTGAAGTTGCACAGAAAACTCTTTATCAGGTCTTATTAAGCAATGTGGCCTTAACAAGGCTAAGAAACACATGAGAAGGTGAAACAGACGACAACGTTCAATCCATGTGAGAAGGAAGCCGTGGCAAAGGCATACCACACGATTGAAGGAATCATCCCCGGGAAGTTCTTGCATTCTTTCCAATACGAATATGCCACTTGTAAAAATAATGGGAAGTGGAAATTACACAAGAAGATTCAGTCTCTGGAGTGAAACAGTCTTAAGAAAACCACAAAAACCACACTCTATGGACGGTCAGGGTAGGTGGTTGGACGGGAACAAGGGATTGCATGGAAAGAATGCGTCTTAACACATTGACGACAACGCGGTGGACATATACTCTATTTCTAAAGACGAGAAGAAAATCGAGTGCAGACCACACATCATAAGAGACGACGGCCAAGAGAAAAGCGGCTTTTTCTTGGCCGTCGTCTCTTATGTGTGTGGTCTGCACTCGATTTTCTTCTCGTCTTCCGAAATAGAGTATAAGTCCCGCGCATTGCAGGCCATGTCGGACCGTGCGGGATATATATCCCCCGCACCCATTACACTCATTTTTTTCGCGCACGCCTGATTCTTTTAGAAGTTTCTTGTATTTATTCCATGGAAGAGACCTTGACGTAGCTACAAACATAGTGGCCCATAGAATGGTCACGTATGCTTTAATTTAGAGGAGGATTTCTGAACCATACGAAATCTTCATAAATTTTTCGTTTACTTTTTCTTTTTATGAATGTGAAGATTTAAATAGTAGTAGAAGTAGATAAGGAACCTTAGGGATGACAATGTGATTGAAATAATCAACGTAAAATTGCTTTTGAGGTCCATTGCAGCTAGTTCTGAAAATTTCGCTTTTTCATTGTTATTCCATGTCTTTCGATCGAAATTCCACTACTGTACCCCTGGGTAGGTTGTGCTCATTACAATTTACTGATCTGGTTTTGTATTGATCATTATTTATGTATTTATCACTCAAAATCTGCTTGAACGGCCTGAGGACCTGAGGCGGCGCAAAATCGCCCCGGTCCCTCGGCCAAAAAAGCCAAAACTCGCGTTGTTGTCAACGTGTTAAGCCGGCCACGTATCAGGCGTCGCATTGAAGGAATCGGGTTGAAACCGTTCCGTTATTCGGACAGTAGAGACAAAACGATCGAAAGAATAGAATGCAGTAGAGAAAAGAAATATTATTGCCATAGGTGGAAAAGGCAGAAATGAGCTCGTAAGCCACTCCAGACGAACTGGGCAATCTTTTTCCGTTGCCAACAATTGTGACGATGTACGGTGGGGAGTTTTGACGCGAAACAGTGCTTCGATTATCTCCAACTGTTCTTTTTTGCGTTTCTTTATCATGCTAGTGGTGGGTCCAGTAGTTGATTTGTGGTTAAAGGTATATCATGTTTTTTGACTGAGACAGATTCCTTCAATTCAGTTAAGCTCAAATTTTCCACCAGCCGTTCACGAGGTAGTAATTGTATCGTTGCCGCAGCTCGAAAAGCTGTTGCAATAAGACCACATAGGGTTTCCTTCATAGGCAGCGGGAAACCACCTGTTGGCGATACCGATGGTAGTAGGCCCTTCTCTCGTCCGGAGGTTCTGTACTCTCGCTGGAATGCCCGTGTCTTCTGTTTTCTTCTCCTCCAACGTTCTTTCTTAGTTCTCATGTTTTCAGTGTTTCAACTTCCCCTATCTTTTTCACTGTCGTTCCTCTTCACATGAACCTCTTCTTTCACTTTTGAGCGGAAAAAAGTCTCTCTCCTCACCCCTCCCCCCCCGCCGCTCCATACAGTGATGTGTGTCTCCAAACTGAACTGAGAGAGTAAGCTCATGTGTTTCTTTTTCACTTTACCTAGCAGATATCCCAGTCCAATGAAGTCAGGATAGCCTTTCACAGTCGCCGTCTGATTGAACATATAAAATGGAAACTGCGTCACGTTCTGATACGGATACTCCCCTGAAATTAACAAGATGTTAATTTCATACACAAACCAAATACAACTGTTCTTTTAGATCAGCCAAACAGGAGCAAAGCCGGAAGTTCGCACCTTCCGCCATTTGATCTATGGCGTCTTTCACCATCTTTCCGTCCTTCACCACGTTGTTCCAATCCATTCTGGCCGCAACACATTGTTTGAAGTAATACGCTACTTGCTTTACTGGATCTGGCTAAAAAAAAACTAGTACTTATACAAAATGAAAATAAATGCTGCAAAAGCGCTTGAATGAGAAGCAGAAGGATCAGCAAATGGAGATATTTTTGACGGTCACTGATGAGCCTCAAGGGTTGACAAAAACAATTCCCTCCTATCATCATTTAATTTCTACTAACTCATTGTTTTTGTCTACCCATAACCGACTATGGGTTGCCAAAAACAAATAGTGGTTCGTCTGAGTAAGGGATGAACAGACCACTTCTTATTCTTGACCAATCATTTTCCAAATTGTTAGTTTATATTAGGTCGGTCCATAATTTTTGAGAACCTTTGGTGTTTTTCGACTTAATTACTTATCTTATTTCTCTGATGTATTTATTCAGCACAGTATACATCACCATTATTACCAACATATCACCAATGCGAGGGTGGGTATTCAGTGTCTCTCTTGTAGAATTTCATAGAGTTCTGATCGAAGAAATATTGGATGTCGATTTTGACTTTATGGTGATTCAAGTGAGATTTCTTCTCCAGAAGGTGATTGAGAGGAGAGCGGATAGTCGTTCGTTGGCACAAGATTAGTGCTACAAGGCGGAGCTAAAAGAACTGACCGCCCGAGAGTCTCCAATTTTTTATGAATTTTCTTAGCAAGGTGGACTCGAACGACCTCAGAAAAAATAGATTTTGTCTTACTTTGCTTTCAAGTTGAAGGCGTTGCCATCAAGCTGTCGACGATTATCTTCATCACTGACACTGGTATTAGTTGGTGCCGGTTCCCAGCGCAAAGCCCTCTCGTATTCCGCCAACGACTCAGGAAGTTCGAATTCAGAGGGAGTTGGGTTTGCTGTCAGAACTCCCGAATCGTTTAAGCTAAGCTACTGCGGCTTGTGGATTTGTTAGCACACTGCACCCAGTCCACATCACCGATGAGTATAGTAAATAGTC